TTAGGGTTTAGGGATTTGGGTTTCGGGATTGGGGATTCGGGTTTAAGGTTTAGGGTTTGGGGTTTAGAGTCTGAGGCCCTTCCTTCATAACAAGGGGTTATGGGGCTCAAACAGGGCTCCGGTGGATGTTAGGTAGACTTACTAAGTCAAAAAATCCTCCAAGTGTGGTGAAGGGTTGCAGGGTTCAAGGCTTAGGGCTTGGAGTCTAGGGTGTACGGGTTTAGGGTTCAGGTTTTGGGTTGGAAGATGTAGGTTAGGTCCAGCCCCTATGTACTGAGAGCACCGGAAAGAGGTAATGGCGGATATCTTGCAGCTCATCATAGCTGGGTGGTACTCTACGGAAAATTCGGTTACTGCATGTGGAGATCATTTAAGTTCCTTGCCCTATATGCCCCATCATACCCTATTATATACCCAATACCCATTATGGTAACTTGATTCAGGTTCCTTAGATGCCAAAATTCCCCCAGTTTCCATTTCATGTTCCATCTTCTTTTCCAGTGGATTCTCCATTATTGGGGTACTATCCCTATATATCCCTGTATGCCCCTTTAAAGGTGCCTAGGTTTCGGCTTCATTTTCTATTTCATTCTCCATCATAGCGGGATAACTTAGTAACTTAAGGCATGGGGTCAGGGCCAGACCATCTTCCCTGTGCGTTATGGCTGTTTCCGAAGGTTACTAAAGCGGGCAATAAAGGGACTAAACATGAGGTTTAGGGTTTAGGGATGAGGGGTAGGGTTTAGGGTTTAGGGTCTGAACTCCTTAAAGGGGGGTTATGTAGGGGACTATCGGGGATATTAAGGGTAATACTAGGAGTGGCGGCTATGACTAAATGCTGTCCTCAGCCTGGACACCTCAAAGAATTGAAGATCGACGTTTGGACCTGCCCTCACTCCGGCCACACATGTACGCTGCCCCTATCATCTCTCCTGAAATGTCATTCTGCGATGCTCAAACACGATGAACGTCTCGTTGCCAAACTTTGTGACAGACTCTTGCCACCTGGCAGCAAACAGAAGACTTCAAAACCTTGGACAGCGGGTAGCGGGTGTGCGTCCTGTACAATGCATTGCAATCGAAGCTGCAGCATTTGATCCCAAAAACCAGAATCCAAATCTGCAAAGCCCCTCAAAAGCTACGCCCCTTGCTCAAGAAGCGCCGGGTGAGCACGTCAGCCAAGGAATGGCCTCAGGCATGCGCTCCACAATGATGCGCTGCAGGTAGAAACATGGACTAATCACAGATAATGATGTCGTCAACTGCACGTCACGGCATTGTCAAGGGTACCAGGGTTGTAGCTTTAAGGGCGTGTTCCTTTTCATATGGCCCAACATAGCCCGTGCTTGAACGGATCAAGACCCTCAAGGTTCCTCAAAAAGCTCCCAAACCCACGGGTACAAGCCTGAACTCTTTGATATGTGTCGTTCCCAAAATTAGGGTCCCATTTTGGTACCCCTCAACATTAGGTGCCGTAATGTAATCTATAAGAAAAGGGGCCCATAATGTTGAAACTCACCCATATGAGCTATAGTCTAAACTCCTTGTATCCCCCTTAGTAACCCCAAAAGGCTTTCCAATATAATCCCTTATATAACCCACTTTAAGGAGTTTAGACTATAGCTCATGTGCAAACTCCCTTACATCCAACGGCACATCCGCGAAGCCGGTAAGCTCAGATTCCCACTGGCCATCTGCATGCCTGAGCCCAAAACAATCAAATGGTTTAGGGTTCAGGGTTTAGGGTTCAGGGTTTAGGGTTCAGGGTTTAGGGTTCAGGGTTTAGGGTTTAGGGTTGAGGGTTTAGGGAAGATGGCCAGCGCTGAGAATTAGTGTCTAGGGTTTAGGGTAAACTCCTAGCATCCTCCCTCATAAGCCCTAAAATTCTCCCCTATATAATCCCCTAGATAATCCCCCTCTTAAGGATTCTAGACGATAGCTCATGTAAGCTTTGTTGCTAGGCTACCAGGCGGGGCATTATAAAATGAAAGAATCCTGCCCCTCCTCCCTACTTCGGAACACAGAGCATAAAGGATTCACATCCCTGAGCTCTGATTTCAAAATTCCCTTGGTAAGCCAACCATGTCCTCTTGCCCATAGGGCGTTGTGGACTATGTTCCTTGGGGGGTTCGCTCTAGGGCATGATAGCCTGATGGAAATAAACAAAAACTCCCAAAACAGAACCCAAACTGCGATCGAATTCTCTCATCTTTGCGGTTCGCGTCACTGGGACCAACGCAGCGGTGGCACTGTACATGGAGCTGTGCTGTTAATGGCATGTTCATCGCTGTCAGCATCCTTTCCTGAAACTAGGAACTAAGGTTCTGTTCACTTGGCCTACTGTTTCTGCTTACTGATGGCAGAAAATTTTTTGCTGCCACGGTACGCCTCCGCAATGCAAGCAACGTCGGCAGCAGGTTCATGCCAAGTCTCGCGTCATTGATCAAACGGAACCTGCAGCAGAAGAACGACAGCGAAGCAGGCATCTGAATCTTAGCTCACCGGCTTGGTCCAGTCAGTAAAGTGTCTTCCCTTCTGGCAGTAACCCTGAGCTCCGTTGGGGTGTACTTGTTTACTTGTTATCATCACGGGTTCCGTGCTACTTGCAGCGCTTCGGTTTTGCGAATGGTGCTCTCTTGTTACTTCACACAAGTAACAAAAAGACCAGTGTTGAACAATTGCGAAGGCAGGAGGAGTACCTTCAGAATACACGTAGCAGGGGCTGATGGCGGAACGATGCTGCCATTGCAAGAACGACTTCCCATGTTAAGACCCCGGCTTCTTGTCCAACGCAAAGACTCCAGCTGCAAGGGCGCCGAGGCCTTGAGCTTGTCAAGCATGTGTCAAACGAAACTAGGTTGGCCCCTGAAGCCCTTTGAAAAATATTAGTATATAGGGTCCCTTATTGAAGCCATTATGGAAAATGTTAAATATTTCAGGGGCCTACCCAGGAAAACAGCTTTAATGGAAAGAAACGAACGACCTGCCTGCCAAAGGCGCCGCAACCGCGTTGTTGGACGTCATCTTGTTCTAGGGTAAGATACAGGCTTGCTGATGGGGCTCCGAATCTGTTCAAATTTTGGAGAGTGATCAGTCTTACGCCAGGGTGCCGAAGACATGTTTGACTTCCTTGCAGATTTGATGCACTACTATCATGACTACAGCATAAGCTGAGCCGCGACAATCACATGTGCGTTTGAAGCATGTAGCGAACGATGCATGCTCGAGCAACCCGCCTACAACTTCTCAAGCACATGTGAAAAGAGAAGTAGATGAAAATCACAGCCACCTCAAGCCCCAAACATCAAGCTTGAACCCACAACCCTACATGGCAAATTTCAAGCTTGAATCCACCAGCCCTTGAAGCCCCATAAGCTGCAAGACGTGTGGGGGTCTCAAGCACAGAACGGGACTTCCGTTTGAAGTGCGGGCTAAAGTTCGGATGCGCAAGGTTTGGGATGTGGGCTTGAAGGGCATTAGCATCTAAATCAGGTGCCGGATAGATCTACGAACTCTGCACGACCTTGCGGCGGGGTGGGTCATCAGCAATGAAACACACAGGACGGCGCAAAAGCTTATACAAAGAGAAATTCTCAGGAGAGTCTTCGCACAGGCAAGGCCACACATCTGCAAGTGTCCAGCATTACCTCCCCGCCTCCGTTGAACAATTCCCTCGCTGTTGAGGAAGACAAGGGACTCTTTGGCGTCTGAAGCCAATGTGCCACGTTTCAAGCGTGCAGCCGAGTCCCTAGGACCCGGTCACTTAATTTAGAAAGCCCGCAAGCCAGGAGTACCGTGGGAGCCCGAGACCGCTGCGGGCCAGATGAGCATGTGCCAGTAGCGGAGCTTTTTTGGGGGTTCTTACCCTCCACCAAGCTAACATGGCACAAACAGACCAGTGCGCGTTAAAAATGGGGCTCTATGGGGTACCATACGATTTTGAGGGGAGGGCAAGTATAGGAAACCAGGATGCCTGTATTTTGGGATGTTGGAAAAGCACAATGGTTTTGGCACACACGCACACCCCGGCGGGAAGCAGCCTGATAAGCTCAGGACCACATAAAACTGTGCAGAGGCTTCGGGAGGCTAGCCTGCAGGCGGCTGTACATCTTTACACTGGGAAACAAGACACAGAGACGGAAAGCTTTAAAAGCAGCCCTCCACATGGGTGTTTCTCACAGAATCCTGACCTTGGAGCCCGAGTAACTTTTTAGGGTTCCCAAGAAACCACATTTTGAGAAACTCCCACATTAACCCGAAAAGCAAGTCCTCAGCGACACCCTTGTCAGAGAGATCACATGAAGACCAAAGCAATTTCTACACAATCTGCATAAAGAGGACTATAACGAGTCCCCATTCAGGGGCTCTTACGGTGCGCAGCCCTCTGTTGACGGGGTACCTCGGGATGCTACGATTGGCCATATGACCCTGACAGCCAGGGCTCCTCTGTGCGCGCTACTCCAATGGAGCTCAGCTGTGCGCGCTGACTTTCTGGAGCCACAGCATGTTCATGGCCGCAGCCTCAAAACGTAAAAACGTATATTGTGGTAATATTGGTATAATGGAAAAAATGGAAACTGTTATATTGAGGTAATATTAGATAAGCACCCATATCAGGGTAAGAAGCAAGGAAAGAGGAGCTCCGTGAACGTTTGTGGTAATGTCTGCGAGCAATTGAGTTAAGGAAAGGGTGAGCACCGATGATGACCAACGAATCCGGCATATACTGCTGATGGACCAGTGGCAGGAATTCGAATTCCTCTGCTGCACCTCTACCAGGAATCCAGCCGCTTTGACGTCTTAACAATGCAACCACTGAGGCACAAGCCAGGCTTAAGGCCGCAGAGATGTAGAAGAACAAGTTGTATGACGTCTGGTCATCCATACCTGGGCATAAGGAAATAATACAGTAGTTTCCATTTGCTTTTCCATTATCCCCTATAGTACCTCTATATAATCCCATTTTTCGTTTTGGTGGCTCCAGATATTGCTTGGGGTAACATCATCCACTGGAGCCTGCTTTTCAGCCACATTCATTAAGCCACAAAAGTATCAACTAACCTGGTTCAAAGGAATCGTATAGGGGTATATAATGGGATTATAGGGGTATATATTGGGGTTATCGGGGCTATATAGGGATTATATGAGGCCGCTGCAACAATGGAGCTCACCAAGGCGAAACAACTTACTAGTGGGTACACAACCTCAGTTTCCATTTGACTTTCGCTTTTTCCGTGTGGTTCACCAGGCCTAAATGGCCAACCACCCCAGCACCATTACTTCAAACAATATCCGATGACCAACATCAAGGGCGCTAGCGTTCAGGGTTAAAAGCTAGAGTTCAGGATACGATTGAATTCGGCCCCACCCCCCTGATAAATGTAGTGTCCAGAAAATGGCGGCATTATATGGGAACATGTTCTATGAAAGAGATGTGCGAGTTTCATAAAACCAGGGAAGAGGATTGGAGAAAATGAGTTCAATACATGAAAGGGAGCTCTAAACAAAAGGTCCTCTTCTGGGAAGATCCCCATTTCTGGAAATTCACCAAAGGCAAATAAGGTACAGATACTGGTACGGCCTATTCAGGCCTGGAATGGGAAGCATCTCCGAATCAGAACTCACCTTAGGGAACACGGTTAGCGCCAAACCAAACCGGCCAGAATCCCTGAAGGACCCTCAAGGATGAGCATGACATGGGCACGGCATGAATTCTTTATGGTAGTTTGGGCTTTCTTCTCCGTTAGCTGATGGAGAAGACAATGGAAGGTACTACACCTCCTAGCACTGTCAATGCCGAAGCTGAGGCAAGACCAAGATGTTACAAGATACTGGGTCCCTTCGAGATGTGCCAGGCATCCTGCTGGTTTTTGGGCGTGGAGTAGGAACGACTCCGTTTTCGCAAACTCTGGGCCCCTTTTGGGGAAACCCCTATAAGAATGACAATAATGACAACGTAGAAGGGGCGCATCCGTTTAAAAACAAAGATAAAGCAGACAGACATTCTGAGCTGTCGGCCACCTCCCTGACACGCCAAGAAGAGATAGTACCCAACAACCTAACTGACGTGAAAATGGATGGACCAAGGCAGCTAAGGATTTGGGGTTTAGGATTTGGAGTTGGGGCTTGAAGGGATCTACTAGCCGCGGGACAGGTGTTCGGATCCGACACTGGGTTGGACCTACTTCGCAATCCAAGCTTTCAGGAGCGAACTGCTGCAAAAAACGAAACAGCGTTCCAGTCCGAGCCTTCCACCCACACTTGACACCTTTGCAAAGCTCAGTCTAGCTCTACTTGTTCGTATAAGCGCAAGAAGCACCACAAAGGTCAGAAGGAAGAGCTTTAACACGTATGGTTCTTGGGAATCTTTTCACACACAACTTAAGGTACGGCTCATCATGCTTACCTTGTTGGCGAGTAGCTGGACCGAGTGCGAAGCCCAAGCCACGGGCGGGACCCGTTGCTGCAAAAACGACCTTCAAGAGGGTTCAGGGCTCAGGGATCCGGGATGAGGGCTCTCGACTTTAGCCTTCATGAAGTACGTCGGTTTTCGGGGTTTAGGTTGTGGGGTTGAGAGGTCAAGCAAAGTCAGAGGGCAAGGCTGAGTACGTCCCATTCTCAGTGAACATGTCTTGTTACACCCTCCAAATACACCCGGCTGCAGTCCCTTAGATTGAGATCCTGCGCGGACCATTTCTGGAAACACCCCCAGCTCCCTAAACCCCTAAACCCTGAACCCGTAAACCCTAAACCCCTAAACCCTAAACCCTAAACCCCCGAACAGCTCTTCCTCAGCCAAGGAGCGGGGAGATCAACAGGACTGTAGATTTGCAGCAACCTCGAGCTCTGGGTCGGTACTGCGGTTTAGGTGCAAACTTTCTTAGGTTTAGGGTGTAAGGTTTTCTGGTTTAGGGATGGTAGTTCTTGGGATTGTCGGGCGTGTCAGGTGGTGCAAAACTTCCCCCATCTACAGCAGGATTGGGATGAGGTTTTCTGGCGGAATGCTGCCCTCGCTGTGAGATCTTAAGTCGAGAGCATGCATGGACTTCCCAAAACTGCAAAGTCTCTGCTGCTCATGTTTTTTTTTTACAGTAGCTCATGTGAAGCTGAGGAGCCACCTAATCATGGGGCACGGCCTACTTGGAGGATCGTGGGGACTTAGTAAATAGGTTGAAAACCCTAAAAGTTCAAGCCGTGTAATAACTCCAACTATCTCCAGTAGTAACCTACTAACTCAGTCCCGATGACCCTAAACCCTAAACCCTAAACAATATGTAGTTTTTTCCATTTCCTTTTCCATTACTAACCTACTTACTGCGTCCCCATGAACCTCCAACTTGCGGGATCACCCCCTGGATAGCTTGTTGCCTCGACGTGTTGACATGGTTAGCGTCCTTCTCAGATGGTGCTTCGAAAATCAAACCCTAAACCCTTCAGCCCCAAGACCCTAAACCCTAAACCGTCAAAGCCTACACCCTAAGCCCAAAACCCCTAAACCCTGAATCCTGAACCCTAGATCCTTAAAACCCTCAACCCTATACCCCTAAACCCTGAACCATAAACTCACAAACCCTAAACCCTACCCACATAGAACCATCCAGCCCAACGAAAAGTCATGCTTAGCACTGGAGCCGCAATCAAAAGGGTCAACGACTGTTTAAGGGTCTAGGGTTTATGGATTGAGGGCTTAAAGCTTATAAGTTTAGGGTTTAGAGGTTATGGGTTTAGGGTTTATGGGTTTAGTGTTTGAGGTTAAAGTTTAGGGTTTACGGTTTAGAGTTTAGGGTTTATGTTTTAAGGGCTTAGGTGAAGGGTTTAGGTTCGAGCTTCGGAAGGGAGGGATGATTTCCCAAAGCCTCATAAAAGCTCGTCTTTAGCTTCTGTCATATCCTTGGAGTTCCCCATGCCCCTAGCAATCTTCCCATCTCACATTCCATCCTCAAACTTTACAGTCTCCAGACCCTAAACCCTTCACCCTACGTACGATTGTAATTTCTAGCTTGCTTTCCATTATCCCTCTATTACACTACACCCCCTAAAAACCAAGCGACAATCACACGGAGCAAGGCAGCCAAGTCACACGAGCGGATTCAGACAAAGCATTCCTGCCTGGGAGTGTTTCGACGGTATCAGAAACAAGACCCTGAAACGTCTGGGGTTATGGGATAGGTTTTTGGGTTATGGTTTGGGGGTTTAGTGTTTAGGGTTTAGGGCTTCAGGTCCTCCATTCCTGCTGTGATGTCGTGTGGCTAGAGTAAAGCGGTAGCATTCAGTGTAGCGGGTAGTGGCTTGCAGAGTATTGAAAGTATTCCATAAAAGCTAGAATCCAAAAGCAAATGGAAATGCAACCCGTTCTCGATTAAACCCCAAATTTCAGAGCGCTGTGCTAGTCTCAGACTCCCCTGGTCCATCTAGCTCCCGCAAGCGGGCCCCCACTGCAAGGGTCCAAATGTACTGAGTTGACAAAACCAGCTGTTCCACAAAAAAGCCCCACAGTTCCAAGAGGCGAAAGCAGCGCCGGCAAGAGATTTGGCAATGAGCAGCCACCACACGGGTAGGTGTGCAATGATGGAAGGATAGGATGCCTGGCGTGGAAGTTCTGGCTTTGCATCTTTTGCACTTTCAAGGTTGGCTGGTATGATTCCAGTGGATTAGGAATTGTTGAATACAGTTGGGCAAAAAAACTTCGCGAAAACAGCGGCCATCAGAGGCTACAACTCAAAACACGGAGAATGATCTGGGGACCATATGGAGATGTTGGGGGTGCACGGAAGCTTTGAATTGAAATCATGAAGACTCCCGCTTTGCCTCAAGCCTTTCCAAACAAAGCCTAGCTACGTAAAGCACCGAGTTGATCAACAACAGGACGCTGAGGACCAAGAAGAGCCTTTGCTGCGCGGTGCTGCAACTCGCAAGCAACAACTGGGTTTGGGGCTGCGAGAGGCGTAGGCTTTGAATAGCAAAGGCCAGGACAGTGAGTGGTCATTGTTGGAATGCAAAGTCAAGACCCATGACAACAAGAACACTACTGAGTCTTGTTGGCACCGGGTTGGCACTCATCAACACAACAGGGTTTTCAACGATGACCCAGGAGCGGTATGGCTTGGCTGATCAAAGGAAATACGCCGCGAGCCGCAACGAAAAGCACCATGCTGACACTGGCCAGGTATGCCGAATGCAGGAAGGAAGTCCCTGCGCAGCAAGTTGGAAATTCGCTCAGGATTCATCCAAGCCTCCAACATGCACCCCAAGGCATGTCCAACTTCATCCCTCCAAAGAAAGGGATAGCAATCAAGTTGAACAACACTGGAGTTCTAGTAGAAACCAGAAAGACCTGCAGCACTTCCAGCCAAGAGTCCGTAGGTGGTTTGGAAAACGGAGGTCAACAGAAGCTTCATACCAAAGCCAGTAAACGGCACGAGAAACTGGTGCAGCACAACGTGCCAGAAGCTAGCAGATCGAACCAGACTGGCCACGGAAGGCGCGGGAGACCTTGGCAACTTCAGTAAGCATACAGGCGCTTTCCGTATACCTCCACCAAACCACTCTGAAGCTCATTCGTGGACTGCTGGTGCAGCTGCTCCAGAGGTTGTAGTACTGGGGCCTAGTCTCCATCTTGGATGCTAAGCATTCAAGACTAGACCTGCAGCCTGAATTGTACATGACACGGGGGAGCCACAGCAGGGCTGCTAGGGGGAGCTACTCTTGACGAAGCCTACATGACAACCATGTCTGAATCCTGAAGCCAGAAAACAAACGATTAGTCGCCTAAACTTACACCATCCCCATCTCCTGCTGCAAAGGGGCTGCCTCAAGTGAGATGTCGGAGCCACGAGCAAACTTGCTGGCGGCGGGCCCAACTCACCTTCTGAGAAAAAATCTGGCGACTGCACTTCTTCAAGCTTTGACGATTACACAACCGGCAAGTGAGTGCAAGCTTTATATGCTACGACATGCTTGATCGTAGCTTGAAGCATCTGTTTTGATCTATCTCCCTTTCAACACCTTCTGCTCCTTACCATCACCAGGAATTTGCAATGTTGTAACAACACACGGCTTGATAGTCGCCTTCTGCACCTGCGCTAGCATCTAAATCTTTAACATCCGGATTCGCAACAGAAAACTGATGAAAGCTTTGACTTGTCAATTGGATCCCTGGCCTCTCGCCACCAGCAGCAGTGGAAACAGATAGATAATGGCCAGCAGGCACACCTGGGGGTCAGCGCAGGAATCAAGAGCCTGAATAACTTCAACTTCTCTACCTGCTTCTCCCAACTCGCCATCATTCTTCAGAGACCTACCACTGTGGCAACACATCAGCTATCCCTCTGATGGCTGATTTTTGGCTCAGCAGTGGTCCCAACCTCAGAATACGCAGCTCCAGCGAGACCCCAGGCATTCCCCGTGATGCCCAAAATCACGGAGATCACCACCATCCTGACGCAAGTGGCAATAGGCAATACCCTCACAGTTTGCGACCTCAATTCCGGCCTAACATGCGTATATGTCCGAACGCCATGTAATTAGTTCTGTAATACTTGTAGTGAGAATAATTGCAAAGACCACAACAATGCTCCTTGTACAGGCCTGGACGGTGAAAATATTGCATGGCATTGGGGAATATCAAGAGATGACGATCCAGATTGCAATACCTGCCCCTAACCCTTTTGACAATCTCTCCTCCAACTTGCCAAGGGAACTTTTATCCCTGAAACCTAAACGGTACACCAGAAAACCGTCCATCATTAAAACTTATGAACCTTAAAACCCTGAACCCCCTGGATCATAAAACCCTACGAACCCTAAAACCTAAAACCCAAAAAAACAGTCGTAGAGACTTTGTAAACCTTCGGACTCTGAACCCAAAACCCCCAAACCCTCAGCCTTAAAAACTTATGAACCCTAAGACCCCATAAACCGTAAAACCGTGGGCCCTAAAACCATCGATAGTAAAACTGTACAAGCCCCGAAACACTTAATCCTAAAAACTCTAAGACCATGAACTTCAAACATACAACCTTATGAAGGCTTAGGGCTTAGATCCTAAAATCCTACACCCTCAAGCCCGACATCTTAAAACGCCAGAGCTCTAAATCCAAGAACCTTGAAACCCAAAACAACTGAACATACAAAACCCTCAGCCATGAATCCTTATAGCACCTCAAACCTAAAACCTGAAACCCAACACCCCGAAACCCTCCGTCATAAAGCCACACACACTAAACCCTGAAACTCTACACCCCAAAACCCTCAGATGATTATTCTTATGAAGGCGAAAACCTGTACCGAAAGCCCCACAAGCCCTATCCGACTGCTGCAGGGACGGGGAGGGACCCAACCTAAACCCGTAAACCGTACAACCCGAAACCCTCATTCATAAAAAGACGTATCAAAACAAAAGACGGAACGAAAACTCTGAACCACAAAACCTTCAATCATGAAACGTTGACTCTCAAACCCTGAATGCTAAACCCTCAGTCATAACACCTTCTAACAGTAAAACAGTAAACTCTAACACCCCAAAGCCACACCCTCAGACATACACCTTAAAACCCTAAAACCTGCTAATTCCAAAACCCAAAAGCCCTCACACATGGAGACGTGTAAACCCTAACACGCTAAACCCCGAAACCCCAAACCCCAGAACCCTCACTCATGAAACCTCATAAACCCTGGAAACCCATAAACCCCAAAACCCTGAATCAAAAAAACCTATGCATCCTAAAACCCGAAACCCCCAAAACCCTGAAAATCTGGCCCCAAGACCCTCAATTCTTATAAAGCCTAAGTCCCTGAACTCTCCAAGCCTGCGCCTCAAACCCCCAAACCCTCAGTCATGAAACATTATGTCCCTGCTGAGACCCTTTAGCCCAAACTCTCAATCACAAAGCCTTCTCAACCCGAGAACACTAAACCTCAAAACTCCAAGCCCACAACCCTCAATCTTCAAAACTTGTTGACCCTAAGACCCTACACTCCAACCATAAACCTCAAGCCCTAAATCATAAAAACTCATAGACAAAAAATATCAAAACCCTTCAAACCTAAACCTTCGGTTCTGCCCCCACCCAGTAGCAGCCTGTAATAGGGATAAGTATAAAGGAGGGCACTTTATATAGCTACAATATAGATATTATCCAACTGTTGCTGGGGACAGGACCCAAACTAAACGCGGAAACTTGCCATCGTAAACCTGTTGAACCCTAAAACCCTGGACCCAAAAATCTGGAAACCAAAACCCTCAGTCAAAAAAAAGTGTAAACCAAAAGCCCTCAATCAACCGGCATTTAATTTGCAACCCTTAAACCCTAACCCATAAAACCCTGCGAACCCCAAAACCCGCAGTCATTAACCCGCTTCAACAAAAACACTACACACTGAAGCGCAAAACCCTAAATCACAAAATCTCTTCAATCCTAAAGCCCGAAACCGTAAGACCCAAAACCCTCAATCATAAAATTACTCTTCAACCATAAGCCCCCAAACCCGCAACCATAACACCTTACAAACCCTTGCGTTAAACCGAACAAAACCAAGAACACTAAACTCAGAAATCTCCATGATAAAACCCCGAAACTCTAAACCCCAAACCCTCAGTCATTGATACTTGTCAAGCTGTTGACCCACAACCATGAAGTATAAGACCTGAAAACCCTAAAACTGTACAGCCTGCAACCCTGAAACCCAAAAGCCTCAGGCGTTAAAACACGTCAACCCCAGAGCATTAAACCTTAAAACACTAAAACTCCGAAACCCTCCATCTTCAAAATCTGCAAACCTTCATATCCCAAGAGACCTGAAAACCGTTAACCCTAAGGCCATCCATCACAAAACCTTCCAAAGCCTAAACCCTAAAGCCTAAAACCTTTAACCCCAAACTCTCAAACCCCAAAACCTTCTATCATATGAGCTACGGTCAATATTCCATACCTGGCTAATGGACATCCGATTGGGGTTATCGTTTTTTATTGTCTCCCCTATCGTTTTACAGCATTTTTGCCGTCACACAAGAAAGCCTAAGCAACACCTTTTATGAATGCCATGCTTCCCAACGAGAAACCTGACGAAGCCCGACACCACCGAAACACTCCTCAACTCCTTGAATACCCTAGGAACCCATGTCAAAGCCTTCCCCAAAGAATCCAAAAGGGTGTGAATTTGCGGCGACTATGAAGGGAATGCGATGTGATTTGCGGGCAGCTTTCCAATGCACGGGGGGTGCTGCTTGGATGGCTTACAAGGCAAACGCCTCTGATAGGACTGCCAAAACCCTTGAATGAAGGAACATATTCGAACTTCTATATTATAAAGTTCATATTTTTAGATACAAAATACATATGTATAATAGCTATTCCTTCATTGAAGTGAAGAGTATTTGGAAATCCGGAAGTTCTGCGGCTCAGGACGCAATAAATACTCAGGCTCGCTTGTTATGGCACGTGGCCATGAAGAAGCCCTTGAAGCTTGTTTTTCAAACGCCGGAAGCTGTGCTGGTGTCAGTCGCTCTCTGACGATGAATCCGACGAGCTGGATGAAGATGAGGAAGAATTCTCACCTTGCAGCTTCTGGGAAGCTTCCTTTTTGATCCGATTCCGCTCCCTGCGCCGATCCAGCTGGCGCTGCCTCTTCTGCAGCTCCTCATCCAAGCTTGGCAAGCCACCATGTTTGCGCGTTCTGCCCTCCAGCAAGATGTGCTTCTGCTCGTCGTACCTGCGGGACAAACCTGTGTGGCTGTGAATGGTCAGCGGCTGCGGGTCCGTGTCCCAACCAGATTTGCCACTACCCCAGAACCCTCGACGCCATGTGCTTGGCAGTGGCACGTCCTCAATCGATCTCCACAGATACTGGTTTGGAGGAAAGAACATGATTGCACAGCCTGATTCCCAAGTCGCTGGGCTTCACGCGACGGTCCGGTACGGCTGACAGGCAGTATGTCCGCGTAATATGCATTTTTGCAGGGACCAGACGCTTGGACTCGCGTGGAACAGGGCTTGTGCGACCCAGAATCACGTTGATGTGAGGAGATGATGGGTCCCGCTCCCGCTGCCTGGCGTTGCCATCAGAGATCACTCTCGCCAAAGCCTCCATCGATAAGATCTCTTCTTGATTCTGCTTCGCCTTTGCAACGTACGCACAAAACCATCCAAACAGCCGATCGCAAATGGATTTGCTGTGCTTCTCCACTCCGAAGTGGATGTTGACCTGCGTCTCAAACTGTCTCACAAAGGTCACTGCATAGTGGTAGAGTGCCTCGTACCCTCGGTAGCGCGGGCCTGGATCCGACATCAATGACAAGCTCGTCAAGGGATTTGTGTTCTGCCGCTTGTCCAAAATCATTCCCAGAAGCTGATTAGTCCGCAAACAGGTATGATCTAAGATGTCGGAAATCACCAGGAAATACGAGGTCACCACACCACGGCCAGGAATGTTTTCCACGAGAGAAGCCCCAAACACCGAGCATTCCATCCGCGCAGTAGCATAGAACTGCTCACCACTAGCAGTGCGCGAGATCGGAAGGGACACCAGCTCCTTCCAGTCTGACAACAAACTCACAGTGTTCTCGGGCGGGGCCGCCTGCAGCGCCGCCAGCACAGGCTGTTGATGTTCATTGGCTGCCTTGTGATGATTATAACTCAATACGAGTTTGAGCAAGGAACGCAACTCCAAAGAGCAGCTGGCCTCCAACTGAAAGAGCTCAACCCGGTTGCGCGGTGGAAAACCGCTGCCACGAATCCGCAAGTGTCCGAGACCGCAAGGAAAGTCCGTGCCCTCACGCCGTCTGCAGGGGCCCTTCTCGTGGTGCCTGGAGATGTAGTGCTCTAAGGCCTCCAGATTGAGCGCAGGCCGATCCGAAAGTCGTTGTGCTTCGCTGTAAGAGTCCCACTGCTCGAAATAATGCGGCATAAAGCCCTCCAGCTGGGAGCGGTAGTCTACGATGGTTTTCTCGCACATTGGTAACACCTTCTTGTCATAATCCAAGCAATATTGACATATATCACTCTTGCACCGTGCTCGTTTGAACTCTTTGAGATGGTGCTTCATATGCGCGAGAAGGTAGACATGCTCATATTGTCACGCAAGGACTCCGCAGCCTCGAAAATGGAAATCCGGTCTTTTGTCAAAGTTCGGGACACTGTCCATGCCCCAGAAGATGTCTGGCACACCTTGCTGGAGTCTTGACTGTGCTGCTCTAGCACAGCGCGAACAGCCTGGATGTCCTTTTCGTTGTTGACCTTGGCAGGTCGTCCACGCTTGGCTGTGGATTTTGGCGCGCCCTCAATACCATCAGCTGGTGGAACTGCCTTGCTCCAACGGATTTTCCCGATACCATAACCGAGCTCGTTTGCTTCCTTTCGGCCAGCGCAACAGGAACGAACCAATGCATCAACACGCCGACGGACTTCGTGCACCGGTTCGGGCGGGTTGGCTGCAGAAAA